AATGTACTTTAATATTAGATGAAATATCAAATAAAATTTAGAAATAATTAAGATTTAATTTCTCACTTCATATCCATCGAACTATATAGGCACTCCGCCTACCTTATCCACCCATCCTTTTTTTCATTTCGACAAGGTTAAATTCTCAAGATATCGCTCGGAAACGAAAGCGTTACAGACATACAGAAATACGGACGAACGGACGGACGCAGTGGCGGATCCTGCGGGGGGGGGGGGTTGAGGCCCAAAGGGCCGAAGGGGAGGGCATGGGAGGGGGTGTCCCCCTTCCATAAGTGGGGGTTCGGGGGCCTCCCCCGAGAAAATTTTGTTTTAAATGGTTCTAAATGGTGATTTTCCGGCATTCTTTTGTACTGTCCTCTACAAATATTTGAATTTTTCAATTACAATTTGTATATGACAAGAATTTTCATATACAAATTGTAATTGAAAAATTCAAATATTTGTAGAGGACAGTACTTTTTGTAGCTTTTTTAAAGACCAATCATCACAAATTTTTAAGAATCCAGAAAAATAAAATGTTTCAATTTGATTTAACTTTAACACAAGACTTTAGACCTTGTTTAAAAAAATGGAGGGGGGGGGGGCTCCCCCCGAAATTTTTTTTTTTAAGGGGGCCGACTATAGTTTTATTGTGTGAAAACTACAATAAAGAAACTCTTCATTTTTATACCATATTTAACTTACATTAACTTCAGTGTACATGCAAAGTTTGGGGGAAATCTACCGTCCAGGTATTTTTTAGGGACCGTCTCAAAATACAGGTACATTTACTATAGGATTATATAGGAAAATGCCAATTTTTAGCACTTTAAAGCAAATTATACAAATACTACAATAGACATTTTGTTCAAATTATAATATTTGATGAGTAATACTATATTATACAATATATATAAGAAACACAAAATTCTACCGTCTTGTTACTAGGATTTTGGAAACGCCAGCCTGATTTTGTAAAAAAAAAAAAATGTATTAATTTAATTTTTTAAACGGTAAATAAAAAACCCTATATATTTATTTATTTTAAATTTTAATATTTATGTTTTTATAGTTTATTCAAATAGTCAATAAAAAACATGCATTTTATCAGCAAAAGAATATTACTGGGCAGCACCGTAACTATGCAGTTTTCTGTTGTTGATACCTGTCAACTACATTGTACTGCACGATGATCTTGTGACTTCACTAGATGCACCCCTCTCTCTGTTTATTACCTGTGTATTGTGTGCATTCAAGCGGAAAGTGATTTCCTGTTACGTGGTTTGAAGTATATTTCACAGTTGTACAGAATAGATTTGTGTTTATTAGAGTCTTATCAATGCAACAAAATGATAAAATGACACTTGCAAAAAAAAAAGTCCCGCTCTTGAAAAGAATTAAAAATTATATTTGAAACTTTAAAAAAAATAATAATGAACGTTAAAAATTCAATTTATTTCGGCGTTGAAGTTAATTACATAGCCACTTAAAAAAAAAAAATTATGGCCAGTGTGGGGGTCGAACCCACGACATTCGCGTTATTAGCACGACGCTCTAACCGACTGAGCTAACCGGCCGATGTGTAGGGAGCAAATTATTTTGATTATAACAAATTTGCATTTTTCCGAGGAAATCCGATGAAATATTGACAAAAATTATGAATATGTAAATTACCAAGGCATTCCGATATAACAATGGCGGCGCCCTGCATAAAAGGATGCAATTTAATTTTTCGATCGGTTGCCAGAACAGGTATGAAACGTTTCAAAAAAAGAAAAGAAAAAGAGAATATCTGTTTCAATTCATATCATTATTTTGGTACCTGAATTTAGGCATAATACATAGCGTATGTGCTGTTTTTCATTTATTGTGTAATCAGTATTTCTCGAATTTCCTCAAATATCCTCTATTTCATAAAATTTGTTTATAGCAAGACAATCGATCTTGGATATATGTATTTACTTTTGAAACAAAGTTGTGTAGAGTGGAAATAATTGAGTACACCATTAAAAGTATAAGGTGACAACTGGCAACATGCAACAGTTGTAATAATTTGTTTGGCCCCCCGTGGGCCCTTGATTGGTGCATAAACAGATACATACCATATACAAAGCATTTGAACAGGTCCAGTACAATCACTAGATTTAGGTAGAATTACCTACGTAGCTTTATTCACATACCTCAGATAGCTTAATTTAGATATTTCAATGCAACTTTTCACTATTGTTCTTTTTTATTAAAAAGAGACAAAATAATTGCGATTAGATGCAGGGCTCTCACACCACTTTTTGGGACTGGGGCCGGGGCCGTTCAAATTGGGAAAAACATTGTCATTTTGGGAAAAGTTGGATAACCAAAATTGATCATTTTAAAAATCCTGAAATTTTGCTTTTCTAGCATTTTGTCACCAATTTAACTCTGGTTTTGAATAAACAGTTAAATAGAACAAACATGGGTACGTAGGCTATTTATGCAAGTACATTAGCTTTGTCATTACTATCTTTGAGTGTTAATATTGCGGTTATATGTCTTTCTGAGTGACAATCGCTAGTCACATAGTCTGGAATTTCCTTGATCACATGGACAACTTTGCTTACCAAAACAGCGCGAGACTGAACATGCTGAAGCATGGGTATGTTTCTAGATGCAGCTTACTAATGTTTAAATGAAATGTATATTTTTGAAACCAATTTTGAAACCAAAATAATGTTTTTTGTCGAAACTACATGACAACTGACAAGAAACTCTGCACTTATAGTACACATTTTTGTAAAAACAAAAGCTGTTTCCCCGAACCAGTTTACGAATGCATTTGGCGCCTACTAATAAAATAGTCGTTCAGTTTCACTTTCATTTGCAAGTGTGTTTTGTTTGGTTTTTTTTTTGCGATTAAGTTTCATGGACTTTTATTTTTTAATTAAAATTTTGCTAATGAAATTGGGAAATTTAACCTTTCTTTTGGGAAAAAAGATACCTTTTTTGCATTGGGAACAGGGCCGAATATCGGCTCCAGATTTATGGAATCTAGAGCCCTGAGATGACTTTTTAGGTCACCTGAGTAAACTCAGGTGACCTATTGCTATCTGTTTTCGTCCGTCGTCGTGCGTCGTGCGTTGTACGTTAACATTTGAACATTTTCAGCTTCTTCTCTGCAACCACTGAACCAATTTCAACCAAATTTGGCACAAAGCATCTATGTGTGAAGGGGAACAAAAATTGTGAATTTCATGATCCCCGCCCCCCTGGGGCCTGAGGGGTGGGGCCAAAACCACTAAAATTAATGCAATCTTTAAACATCTTCTTCTTTACTCCTGGACATCAAGCAGTCAAACTGTTTGCATGATTGTAATCAGCAATGAGTCCTCTACCAAAATTGTGAAATTCATGGCCCCAGGGTCAGGGGTTCTAGTGCTAGGGCGGGGCTAAATAAGTAGGTAGTGAAAATGCATTATTTCTTTGAAAATCTTCTTCTCTGCTTATTAAATAAACCAGCTAAGAACATAGTTATGATTAGCAAGAGTGCCTCTACCAAAATTGTCAATTTTATGGCCCCAGGGTCAGGGGTTCTGGTGTTAGGGCGGGGCTCTTCATGAATTCTTTGATTTCTTCTCTGCTCCTGGGTATTAAATAAACTAACTAAATACACAGTTATAATAAGCAAGAGTGCCTCTACCAAATTTGTGAATTTTATGGCCCCAGGGTCAGGGGTTCTTGTTTTAGGGTGGGGCTCTAATGATTATATTTAGTGAAATGCATGAATTCTTTGAACATCTTATCCTTTGCTCCTAGTTAATATGATAATGATTTAATTACAAATTTAAGGCCAGGATTTATTTTATTTTCAGTTTTACAAACTCTCCGCTCAAGGTTTTGAATTTTCAGAAAAAAAATAAAACAATTTTTTTTCTTTCCGATGTCAAATTTGAGTTCAATTTCAAATTTACGTCGCACTTCCGCTTTTTTCGGCGGGTAAATTATAGGGAAAAGACCACTAATTATTTTCCCATAGAACTCCATACAAACCTTAGGCCCTCTCAGTACTTTACTATGACAATTTCAGAAAAATCTTTAGCATCATTTCAAACTTTGTTCAAGCCCTAACAAAATATACTGAAAAAAATATATGGTCCCATTTTATAGGTCAAAATTGCAGTTATTTTCAACTTATAGAGATTCGCAGTAAATAACACGCGGCATAAAAAATCAACCCCCACTCCTAAAATCTTCCCTGGTATTTCTATAGCTTCTGTAATATTCCCTCATCCCATCATTTATTTCAAAGGTCATTAATTTTACTTTAAAATGAAAACAATTAAATACCTGATTTCAGCCAATGGCGTAACGCCTACCCATTCAGTATTCGGTTTAATGTTCCATAACAAACAAAGCCATGTGTTCATCCGGGGATTTGGTGCTCTCTTTCCATAAAGCTAGCTTGGTTTAGTGTAAAATTCATTGATAAGAGTGCCATTCAAAACGTTTCACCTGTTCAAAGGACAAATAAAATGCTGAAGACTTTGTTGCACAATGACATGCTGGTGAGATAATTATGTATTCGTTTCAAAAGTAACTGTAAATTATTTTCTGCCCGCAGGTTTTTAACTGCCCATGGTAGCTATTGCATATTGCCAGCGACATTGCTTAGGTCTCTGTTATAGCTTGCAGTCTAAGCATCATTCTTCAGAAAAGGGTGGCTTATGCATCAGATGTAATGAATAAAACTATGGGAGAAGTTAAGTCCATAAGTTAATTTTACAACAATGTCTACACATTCACCTAACACATATTAAAAAAATGAAGATATATTGAAAGACTTTTAAAGAATTGATTTTTTAAAAATATATTTTGATCAACATCACACAAGTTATATAACTGGCCCAAACTGACAGATGATGAAATAAGCAGTTAAATGTTCTACTTTCCTATTTGTAAGCATGTGTTCAGTGGTAAGGAGCCTATTAGGAAAAAGACTGTACAAATGTTAATAATTGAGTTATCAAAAAAAATTTATTTCCTTCTCATGCAGGACTTTTTTTATTCTCATGTTCATAACTAAACCTAAATATAAAAAAAATGCTGGCCTCATAATGAAGAAAGGGGCCTCTTTCAAAATAGATAATTTCAGGGCCGCTGGGTCAGGGGTACCAGGGGGGTACTTTGACTAAAAATAAATTAATGCTTTGAAATCTGCCCTTTGATAACCAATGGTGCCTCTTTCCAAATTTGTGAATTTCATGGCTTTTGAATTAAAACACGAACCAAATAAAATCGCTGGAAAGTTGTTACATGATACTCAGGTGACCTATAAGGCCCGTGGGCCTCTTGTTATATTTACTAGTGAGGTTTTAGAAAACAATCCAAAGCAGAGATAGTTTAAACATTGCTGCATTTGGACAATTTGGAGCAGAACATGCAATTCCATTGTTTGGGTAACTGTACTCTCTCTTGCGTGCGGTGAGGCATGGCTGAGTATGATTACTTCACATTTTGCAGAATAATAACCGACCTATTATCATGTTAACCAGAACTGGACTTCTTTCTTATTTTTCATTCAAGGAGTTACTGTTCTAAATGTCATACATACTACATAGCCCCCAAACTTTCAGAACTTTGATTGCAATTGTGCAGAAAAAGACATTTCATCAAGAGTGAATTTTTCATGAATTGTTTTCATTTGAGTTCAAAGTTGAAACTGTTCACTGCATCAAAATTATATTTTCTGCACATCCTGAGAAAAATAATCTTTTTTTTTTTATAGAATTAAATTGATTTGGTAGCTAAATAAAGCTACCTCAGGTAGGTAAATAAAGCTAAGTAGATACTGTAAACCAACTTTTATTCGCGTGCGAGAAATTTTCGTGAGGTTCGCGAGAGCCTTGTCATCGTGAATATTTCTCGCCGCAAACCTATCCTAAAAGCCTCTATTTCTATAAAACAACAGATCCAAAAAAGGCTTGATCGTGGAAATTAATTGTCACGAACTACTTTACAACTGGTAAATCGCAAAATGAAGTCGTTGTGAATAAAGGTTGGTTTATCAAATTAATTAAGCTAAATAGCTAAATCTAGTGATTGTACCAGACATGTTGAAAACCCCTGGAGTCCAGGGGTGCTACCATGCTTCTAAACAGAAAACTCCCGAGAACAGTTAAAAGAAAACTAAGAGAATCACAATCATTTTAAATAATTCATTGTATGTAAAATACATGTTTATGCATTGATCTCTGCACAATTCAATACTTTAAATCAAGCATGCACATTGTGAATATGTGGCCCAGGGATAAAGTTTTTTTCATCTGTTGTCATTTGCTGTCCTTTACTTGGGACCCTTAAGCTAACCCCTATGAACAGAATAACTGCTGTAGAATCATCATTGTTCATAGGGGACCAATGTTTGTGGATGTCGTGGGTCACCCTTACCCACAAATTAACATCCCTATTGAACGTTTATTTTGTTAACATATTGATTCTTTGAACAATCACAAGTAACCCACGAAATTACGTCCCCTAGAACAGGTAAGATTTTGCTTACCCTGGAACATTGACCCCCATGAATTAAAATGATTCCACAATATTCAAATAACTTTCTTTATCATAGTTCTGGGATGTGTTCTGGAGAATCTGACAGAGTTGATTAACATTTGACCCATGATAAGCATTTCCTTGATGCAAAGAGCATCTACTTTTTCATTCCATTTAATTACATGGCTTAGCACCAACTACACAATCATATATTGTAAGAAAGAGTAAATAGTTTGCTGGTTAAACCACAAATGACATGTATAAGCATGTCAATAATATTATTAGTCTTACATTCTTGTAATCAAAGAGTTTGCACTGAAGGAGAAACATTTTTAGAAAATTAATATAATGGCAAATGTTAAATCTGCATTACAGTTACATGGCGAAACCTGTGGAATTAAATCCAGCAAACTATTTTCTCTTTTTCAGATAGCTTTTAAAAGAAGTGTCCCAACTTCATACCATTTGTCCTATAAATACATCATCATATCACTATCATCATGGATCACCTACTGGACATGGAAGTAATGGAGAAGGCAGCTGATGCTGAGACAGCCCTCAAACAGATAAAGGAGTGTGTCCAATACAGGGACAGTAAGGGCCTAAAGACAGTCATACTGGAACACAAACTTAAAGACCAGTCTATATTCTGGGAAATCGCATCAGAACTGACTTCCAGTTTGACTGAGGAGAACTTGGAAACATCTGAGTATTTCTTTGAGACTTGTCAGAGATGCTTGAACTACATTATTGAAAATGGCAACCCAAAAGAGCTGCTCCTAGCTGTTCTGGAGCAGGCTGATTCTTTCAAGGATGACCAAAAATTTAAATGTATTATGGAGAGTGTGCAAAAGATTTTAATGAAGTTACCAAGTAAACGGCATCATTCATTGGATATCACCTTGGAAACCCTCTCAGCTCATATAGAGGCTATCCCAGAGCCTAAGGACCATAATCTGGATAAGGAGGAAAGAAAACTGTTGGAGATGGATTCAGCTGTCATGAGAGCTACAGATGTAGTTCTGTGTTATCTAGAGTTCTTAAGTCCCTTTGTGGAAGAAGTGTCTATGAAGAATCCTACAGTCAGTTTCTGTAAAACTAGTCCACAAGTCCAACTTCTGATGAAGTACTTAATGAAGCTGTTGTCACATCCACTCTATCATCTGGATATGACATTCAGACCCAAGGAACAAGAAGAGAAAGAAAAATCCTACAGCAGAATATGTGCAGAAAGACTGATCGATCATCTATCTCAACTCTGTCCTAACTTTTTTGCTCTTATTGAACAAGAAATGGAGAAGAGGAGTCAGAGAGACAAACAGAAGAAGACAGGTAATGAGGAAGATGAAGAAGAAATGGAGGAGGACAGTGGTGACAAAGTGAGAGATTGGAAGGAGGATAAACTGATTCCCAAGAGAAGCTTAGCTTGTCTGGCTTATCTAGTCATGGCAGAAGGACTTGGTGCGGACAACATGCCCTGTGTGTACAACCACAAGTTCACACTCCGATTTCATCTGCCTTTCATCAAGTTATTCCTGGAGGATCAGCACTCTATTGTGAAACTGAAAGGAGTCCTTCTTCTGGAGAAACTTATTGCTGCTATTCCACCCTTCACCTTCAAACATTATGAACTGGATAATGATTATTACAAAGACATTTTGAATGCACTGATATCAACCATGACACATTGCCAAAATAAGGATATACGCATCGCTTGTGTTCCAATATATTCTACGTTCTTTAGCATGTTTACACTTCGAGGTCGTTTTAGATTGTACGAAATCGTTTTCAACACGTGTACACATTCTGGAGTGGTAGGGCACACCTTAAATTTGTACAAAGAGCAAGTGAACACTTTGCTAAAACAAGGAGACAACTGTGAGAATCTCTTTTTTGGACAGAACCTAATGTAAAAATTTTCAAGCTTGTTTCTGTAATCCCAGATGGAGCCACCACTGATTTGCTGGAGAATTCAGACAGAGTTATCTCCGTTCTGAACTTCATTCGGTACTTGGTGCTGAGGGACAACCCTGCTTCAAATGCTACAGGCTTCTGGGATCTCTGTCCTAAACTGGATAAGGAATTTTTTGAGCCACTCAGACAAGCCATTATTCTGTCCAGAGGCCATTACAACCTGGATTTAGAAGATGCCAAGAAAGGAAATCCTTTACCTTTTGAAGAAACAGAGTTCAAGGTCAATGTTGGTGGAGAGACTTTAGGGGCTGTCTCAAAAGAGCAAAGGATTCAAGTTATTGAGTCGGCTCTGAACACATTTGATATGATGGACAGTATACTTAGTCGTATCATTGAATTGGCAGATAGTCAGAAAAGGATGTTGAAAGAAAATCAAACTGACAGTTAAACTGATTAACTTTTTTTATTCTGTAAAACAAAATTATGCAATAGAGAGTGCTGATCACATGATATCATTTATAAAAAGCAAAAGTTAAAATTTTTTAGAAAAGTTAAAGTAATAAAGATGTATGTATTACTGTCTGAATGAAAGTTCTCATCATCTTCTTTATATAAAGTTGAATATGAATTCTGAAATAAAATATGGTTTGTATTCTTGAACTGAACATTTTCAATAAACAGTTTTGAAACATCTCAGTATTTGTATCTGTAATAATTTACTTGAAATGTGTTTAAAAATTCCAACTCCAAAAATATAAATGTGTATGTAAATGTAATATTTAATATTCCAAACACTTTTTTCTCAATTTGTAATTATGGATTAGGGGGAGGGGGGTCTGAATTTTCAATATAAACTCAAATTTCTAGAAGTGATTTTAACAATATATAGTGATTTGAAAATAACTTGGAACTACTCTTTGGTTTCTAAATATGATCAGCCATATGAATGTGTCAGCTAGGGTTATTTCCATGACGTCAACATATATTCATTGTAATGCTGAATGAATGTTTGATTATTATTCAATAAAATAATAACTTTACAGACAATTTACAAATCATTTTCAGCTTTGACTAGGTATAACAGACATGCTGTCAGACAGATGTATAGCAGCAATGGAAACAAAAACCCACCACACAACAACTTCACAAGTCAAGATTCTGCCCAGGGCGGAAGTGGGAGGTCGGAATTTAATGCCCAGGGCAGTAATCAGGGCAGTACCCAGCAAGCAGGCTTCTCAGAGGAAGAGTAAGTACAAGAGCAGTAGGTACCACCCTACACATTGTGTTATCTCTCATACTTAAAGTATGTTAGTTTTAAAATTTGACTACTAGTAAAGCATTCTAGTAGAATAAACAAATTCTTTGAAAAAAAAGAAATATTTGATAAGTATAAATATAGTTGACAAGTATCAACAAAGCATGAATTTAATGTTTCCAAACGAAGTTTTTCCATGTTTACTTTGAAATTGAGTGTCAATTGAAAGTACTTGATATAGATCTTAAAGTCAATCCTTAATTATTATTTTATAAGCATTATGTAACTTCATTAAAGATGAATGGTTACATTTCAGAATCCAATATCTATTTTAATGAGCCAAGTTACATGATAAAGGTGTCGGTAGCTAGTCTTGTATTCTTTCAGATTGCGGACTTCTGAGGAATATTCAGACCAGCCAGAGGACGAAGAGATGCCAGAAGAAACAGAGGAGGAGTTCCAGACCAAACAAGCCATACTGAAGGCCGCCCTACCATTTGTACACGAACACGGGTGGACACAAAATGCATTAGCTGCTGGTTAGTTAGTTCCAGTAAAACATGTACTGACCATTTTGAAAATGTATGAACAACAGATGTACCGTATATACTTGCCTATAAGTCGGTCCTTCCATACATTTTTTTAAAAAGACAAATTATTGCTCTTGCATGCAGACAACATTAGTCTTGTTCATTACTTTAAATAATGGTTTTATGATATTAATTCTACCTCTGCAATTTTGCCTTACATTGCTTGCATTATATTGCTAAGAAAAATTCAAATTACCAAGTGTAAAAGTCATTGTTGGAAAAAATTATTAATTTATTATTTATTTTACTTTGACTCTTTTTTCTGGTTATGTAAAACTTGGCTTTATTTCATTAAACTTAATGCATTTTAGGTGCAGAATCTATTGGTATGCCATCAATAGCCCATGGAATATTTCCCCGAGGTGGTGTGGAATTAGTGTTCTATTTTTATGAAGAATGTAATAAGGAATTGTCATCCATATTGAAACAGAAAGTAGAAGAAATGAAAGCGAAAGGAGAGTAAGTATCTAAAACTGATTGAAAAAAAATACCATTCAATCCTGCAGTGCTTACATGTAAAAAATAGCCTATAGGAATCTGATTGCTTATTTGGATCAATATGGTACATAAATACTACATATACATGTACACTGTGTAATTTTTATATTCACTGAAATCATTAAAGACACATAGAAAATTGCTTATGTGGCATATGAGATAATTGTCTTAATGTAAAAAATGAACATTTTGTTTCTTAATTCAGAAAGCTAAAAACAGGACCTTTCATACAAGATGCCATAGAAACCAGATTAAGAATGATAACTCCATATATTGATAAATGGCCTCAAGTAAGTAATCCATACTGATCACCACACAATTGTTGATATATGTTTTTGTTTAAATTGAAATGTAGCAAATATCACACAATCTAAAACATTTGAAAATTAAAATGTTGATTTTTTTTAGGCTATGGCTATACAGACACTGCCCCAGAATGCTCCACAGGCTTGGACTAATTTAGGGCGCTTAATGGATGATATATGGTACTATGCTGGAGATAAGTCTAATGATGTAAGTACATGTAACTGACAAGGTATTGTGTTTTCTGCAAGAAATTGAACTCAGATCCTCATGCTGGTTGTTCGATTACTTCTTGAAATCATTTCTATAAATTAAATACACTTATAATTGTTAGACATCACATTGTATCATATCAAAAGTAGGAAACAGAAATACTTACCATAAAGTCTACGTAATCAGGTGGAAAAGAGCACCTTAGTCATTATAATTATACACACAAGTTCATGTAAAAATACATTTTAGATCTATGCCTCTGTTATAATTTTGTTATATATGACAATAAATTTGCAACAAGTTGAAAAGTTTTAATTTACAGACAAAGGATTAGAAGTCTGAAATTGATGTATTTAATCTGTTGACAGTTTAACTGGTACACTAAGAGAGGGTCACTAGCAGCTGTTTATAAGAGTACGGAGATCTACATGATTCAGGATAAATCTGAGGATTACAATGACACATGGCTGTTCCTGGAGAATCGATTGGACGACGTGGTCAAGGCAGGAAAACTGACCAGAAATGTAAGATCAACATTTATAGAAATGTTAGATTATGTAAAGGATTATCACAGTTGTAGAAAACACGTATTTTACAGACAATGTATCCAAACTTGCTCAAAGTCAATAAATGTTTAAAAATATTTTGTGATGTAGAATTAGATATAAATATGTTTTCCTATACATGTATTCTAATGTTAAAATATTTTGTGATGTTTGAACTTTTACATTTGAAAAACGCTGGAACCTTCTGTATACAGAACTGAATAATTTTTAGAGCCCCCCCCCATCTTTAATATGGCGTCTTTTCTTTTGGCATTCCAGCTTGACTATCTGACTGTATATCTTTTTTTTTAAATAAAAAAATGTATTATTATTATTGTTGCATTTAAAATGATTTTATTATTTTTCTTGGATTTCAGCTACAGCAGACAGGCACAGTGCTATCAGAGGGGGCTATGGGGATGTGTATAATGGTAGGTAGGAAAAGCAAGTCTTTGTTTGGACATTATGAAGTATTATTTCAAAAATTTGCTAGACCTCCCCCCCCCTAAAAAAAAAAATGTGATGATAATTCTGTGTCAGTTTAACATTTTTGTGTGTATGAAGCAAAGAAATGCACAGCTGTATAATTTTGTATTTTCACATTCAATTTACATAATTAATTTTGAAAGGAATGATCAATGTTAGATGAAATCTGTAGCAAAAATATGAAACGATCAACTGATTTTCCCCCTATGTTTATGATTTCTAGTTTGTAGTAATTTTGTTTTAAACTTGATAAATGTATCATTATAGATTTTTTTTTTTATTCTTTTACAGACAAGGAACATTCTGGGCATGAACAACAGATGACAGACTTAAAAACATTGTACATGTAGGAACCTAAAAGTGATTATTGGTCTATGTTTTAAACATAGACTTTTACCTTAATCCATTTATTTTCTGCTTGCCCCCATATAAGACGTGTTACATGGTATAGTGTATGTAGGCCTGTATATTGATTTTGTTATGATTAATGTTTGCATAATAAAATGTTGAAAACATAATATATCAATGTCTTAGTTTTGTTTCTGCATTAATTAAGATACTTTGTCAGATGATTATCATAATCAAAATTGAAATAAATACAAGTCAGCATTCTATGGAAAGAGCATACATGTGCTTGTATGTAAATCTTAGTAATTTGAGTATTTAAAGAAGAAATGTTGCTTTATTGTTAAAATAATTAAACCATCAATGCAGCATTTTGAAAAACTGTTATGTGGCCATTTTTAAAAATATTTACTTCAGGGTGTTTTATTGTTTTAAATAAAGAAAATGATCAAAAATGCCTACATAGTTGTGCCTAGCTGCAGATCTGTATTTCGCTGGTCTGAAAAAAAAAATGGAATGGACGATATTTTTTCGGTTTATAATGACATTTTGAAACACGCAATTAAATTGTTGGCTGGAACATAAAAATACAATTTTCGGATCCTCGTTACAAAACAAATGTTGAATCAAATTCTGAAATCCTAGTATACTAAAAAATAACCTCAGGTAAACATGTCATGTAAGTTAATCCTGTAATTACCTTCAATAAAGGTGTCATTCTTTGATGTCAAAAGTGGACTGGCTTACACCTCAGAGTGACAATGGAATACCGGGGACAATATGGTTTTTTTTCTAGTATGAAAGGGTATCAATTTGTAAAGAATTTAATACGGAGTTACTCATGAACTCGGGGATAATGGCATTTTAGGGAGAGTTAATGTTTGGTCGGAACTTTTACAAAATCAGAGGAAAAAAATAATATGAACAGCTAAAAAAAAAAAGAATGCATTAGATAAAAAAAAATTTTTTTGGATGATAAAATTATAATATCTGATTATTTGGGACTAATTCTTAGAAAAAGGTCTAATCTCCCTTAAATGACATCAACTGCAAGGCTTTATTATATTTGTTGTTCTTTATTTAGGAGATCCTGAGCAAAATCAATTTCTCGCAAATTTTTTGTTTATATAGTTTTCCAGGTAAATATTTGTATATGCATCTCATTTTTTTGCACTAAATTTCTTTCTTTTTCTATTCCCTTTTATCGGCACAATTATTACTAGCTGCAGATCTGTAGCTATCCGAAAAAATATTTATTGATAGACCGGATAGCTACAGTGCCACCCATTGAAAAAACTGTATATTTATTGCGCACAAAAAAGTGCGCTCGGTTCTTGATTATTTCTTCAAAATTCTTACCTCAATTGCAAATGAGGGAAGATTTTAAAAAGTTTCTCTCTCCTCTATCAAGTACATTCGTATAGTTGACATCTGAACGAAGTAAATTGGTCCGAATTATCTTTGAAAACCAAAATGGCAGTATATACAATCGAAATGTTCGATGTTTACAATATCAGGGTCAGGAGGACTATTAACAACAATTATGACGAATGTTTTGTTGTGGAAAGAGTCAAAGAATATGTTAGGAACACACGGTTAGTAATATTTTGAGATTACAGATTTAGAAACCAGGAGAAATAAATCGAAAAGCGAGCGCACTTTTTTGTGCGCAATAAATATACAGTTTTTTCAATGGGTGGCACTGTAGCTAAATTATTACTTACATGTCATAAACTTTTTCTTAAAAGATGAAGTTTATGGAATGCCATATACGACAGCCAACTGCTTACTGCCAACTGCTGACTGCTTACTGCCAAATGTCAGCTGCTTGCTGCCAACTGCCACACATATTTGAATAAATTTTATATTTGTATTGATATTTATATGATTTTTCACTAAACAAAAAGAAAAAAAGGCACGGATCCAGGACATTTTTTCCAAGGGGGTCATCCTGGTAAAACTGAATTGAATAAAATGACCAATATGTTTTATCTGATATAATATTCAATCTATGCGGTTGATAAAGTACATTGTTTATTTTTTCATTTGTTTTCCTATTTGAAATAGGGAATAAAATGACTATTTTCTGCTTTTCATCTTTAAAGAACCCCCCCCCCTTCCCGCGGAGACAACAAAACCTTTGAAGAGAGAATAATAATAAAACAGATTTGTCGTTTCGCAGAGAAAGATATTTTGAATATAAATTTCCGTTGTCCATTAGATTCTATAGTTAAAAAATTTCCTCAAATTAAAGATGTATATATCTCTCTGTGTTATAATGTTTCACATGCATACATGGGGGGGGGGGGGGGCATTTAAAATTTGTACAGTCATACGTTAAATTAATTAAACGAACTACAGGTATAACTGACATTGGACCCTCCGCTTAGAAAACGCCGATCAAACATTTATACAGTGTATCTCTTTGTTTGTACAAATAAATTATGTTTTACATGCATAGATCTCGAGAGAGGTCCGGAAAACCCCTCTGAAATTTGTAAAGTTATTTAATGCTCAAACTAAACCAACTAAAAGTTATTTAATTATAAAATAAATCAACTAAAAGGGGACCTTAGAACCCTCCCCTCCCCAACCGAAAATGTGGATTCGTGTTAAGTTGGTATGAAAAATGTCATACACATGAAGGTATGACGCATAAGAACCCCCTCTCCCCGGCCGAAATAAATTTTCACATTTAGGAAAGGACTTTGCGTATTTTTTTCTTGTCAAGACATATTTATGGGTTGGATTTTTTTTTTACCAGAGTGACCCTTTTGGAAAAAAACGTCCTATAGATCCGCGCCTTTTTTAAATTTTACATGAATATCAATAAAAAAATAAATTTTAATCAAATATATGTAGCAGTTGGCAGTAAGCAGCTGACAGTTAGCAGTAAGCAGTCAGCAGTTGGCAGTAAGCAGTTGGCTGTCGTATATGGCATTCCATAGAAGTTGGTATTTTTCATCCTTTTTTTTTAATTTATGAAATTTAATACTTTACTATTAATCTTTAATCCTTAATCACATGAACAATTTGAGGATAATTTTCACGGTCCTCACAGAAATTAAATTAAACAACGAAAAGCTGTTTTCATACAGATGGGAAAAATCTTAGTGTTGTGCTAAAACCATCTCGTGTGAAGACAATTGTTACAAGAATTTAGCATCGAATAAAATTATGTTAAAAATTTAGACTGCAATATTAAATATACCCTTAGGCCTGACAGGTGGCACACCGGCACATACCTAAACCTTATACATTATTTAATTAGCACGATACTGACCAATTACTTTGATTCTATTATTCGATATCGTTTTTCCTGGGGTGGTAAACAATTTTATTGTATTACTTCAAGGCATAAAAGACGTATTAAAGTATTGTGGGACGCTAGATCTCATTTATTATTGACCCTAAACCGATTTACAGCCACAGAACATTTCAGAATTACTTTTAGTTTCGTCAAAATGTGGGGTTCAACAAGGCGCGCCTTTCTTGGCTTGATTTTTACCTCGACAATATGTGCATTACCAACACAAGATACCAAGATCCTGCTTAATGAAACTACCACTACAGCACCAGAT